TAACTCTAGAAAATCTTTCCTTGACTGGTTGAAAAACTCTTCGATTACCATTTCTATGTCTTCATCGTCAACAACTTGCATACTAATGTATTGTGATTCACACCATATTCTTGTAGTGACCATATTGATAGATTGTTTACCTTCAAGCGCTAACTTTTGACGAATTTTTTGATGTAGTTCGCTAATTGTTGAGTTCCGCATGATACGTGTTGGCCTTTTCTCGCCTTCAAAAATGACACCACGTCGACCTTCCATTTTCCTACCATTATAATATAAATCAACACGAACAAAATCAGAATGTGAACTCATTCTTAACTATATTAATAAAGAAAAACACAAAACAGAGTATGCATAAGCAAGTGAGATTGTATCGAAGGCTAAGAAGTTAAGATGAAGAGTTGTGATGAATGTGAAGATGGGAGGTGTTTATATAGGAAAAATAGGTGGTATTCACGCCCAAAGTGGGTTGTAAAGGGGGCTAAGTCACGCCTAGATGGGGCTGGAATACCCTTTGATTCTCGCCTACATGGGGCGTGTCTAATCACGCCTATTTTGGGCGTGAATGACGTGGAATTCACGCCTAACATGGGCGTGAATTGTCCCGCCTATTTTGAGCGTGAATGACTGCAATAAATCCGAAAATAGTATTCAAACTGCAACATATTCATAATTAATTATTAAAAGTGTAATATTTTAATTTTTGAGCCCATTACTATTTGCTTGAATTAATTCATTTGTCATGTTTAATGATATAGATATTAGCTATGTAGCATCGATATCGACACGCGATATGACACTGTATGATACTTCAACATGACAAATCTAAAAAAATTATGAATTTCAATATGTTAGGACATATTTTAATATTAAATAACATTTTTAATTTATATAGGGAAATGATATACTTACCACCAAAAAAGTTTACCACATTTACAACTAATCTAATCACTGTTGATTTCTGTCAATCTAACGATTATAATTTATTGAAAATTATTGGGTCGCATTTATTAATTAATTATTAATTTTCAATAAATTATAATCGTTAGATTAACGAAAATCAACAATGATTACATTGGTTGTAAAGGTGATAAACTTTTTTGGTAATAAGTATATTTTGTCCCTTTATATAATATATATTACATTTAATATTCAATAATTTAAAAAATAAAAAACAAAAACAACCCACCCCACCCCTACCCGCTACACATAGAAAAGCAGTGTTTAAAAACCCGGCCCGGCCATCGACCCGGCCGAGGTCAGGGGTCACGGAGTCACGGGTTCAACCGAGGGGTCACGGGGTCACTATGCTGACCCGGTTTTATATATTAAAAAATATAAATATATATATCCTATATGAAAATTTTAAAAAATAAATCACCAATCATTAAAGATTCAAAATATACTTAACATAATTCACCAATTACAATCATAAGTCAATATTACATAACCTAATTAAAGTATCAAGATACCAAAGTACAAAACTCATACTCTAAGGGGTCACTACGCTGACCCGGTTCTGCCTCTTTTGAGAATGTCTCTAAAAAAAGAAAATTTAAAGGAAGTAAGAATGAGTTTTTGTTTTCCATCGACGATCATAAAGATTTCATTTGAATGGGTAAGATTCTTACTTTTTCTAGAAGATTCATGACAGCGAGGTGAAGATTGAAGATCTCTAGGTTGCTGGGAGAGAAGAGAACGATTACATTTAGGTTTGCAAGTATTTTTATTTTTTATTTTTAATAAAACGATGTTGTTTCATGGAATTATTTTTTTTTTTTTTAAACATGCAGTGACCCCCTTTGACCCCTATGACCTGGGAGTCACTGAAACCTGGCCGGGTTTTGGGGGTCGGAGAGGTCGATATGCATATAGGGTCCAACTAGTGACCCCAACCCTCAGAGGGGAGGGGTTAGGGTTGACCCGGGTCAACCTGGGAGGCGAGGTGGGGTTTTAAAACACCGTAGAAAAGGAACCCAATTATTATAACTTAATACAAACTAACTCCACTTTTTAATCTAAACTTTAATTTAAAAGAAAAAGAAAAAAAACAAACACTTTGATTGACATATCACGTGCCAAAATCAACCAGTAGCAAATTAACATAAAACATAAGATCTTTAAGTTTTAAATTTCTCTTTTTTCCTCGAGTTTCCTCAAAAAACAACAAAATCCAAATTAAAAATCTGTTTTTTGTTGTGTTCTACTTTATGAAGCACCGACACTTCAAAAATCCTGACGTGTCGTGTCCGACACTTCCCGACACTCTCGGACACTCCCCGACACTCCAACACGCGTTACAGAAATTCAAAAAAAGGTTCAAAGGTTGCGTTGTGTTGAATTTTTAGTTCCAACTATTAGATTCGCTGTATTACGATTATCATTTTATTGAGTTTAATATAAATATTTGTAATATCTTATGTTTCTTTGCAAAATTTATGAATATTATAAGGTTAGATTCATTTTTTGTTAAATTATTGAATATTAAATATAATATTGACTACATAAATTAAAAATATTATTTAATATCAAAACGTGTCCTAACGTGTTGAAATCTAATATTTTTTAAAATTAACATGTCAGAGTGTCGTGTCGTATCGTGTCACGTGTCCCGTGTCGGTATCGGTACTACATAAGTTATACTGTCCTTCAACAGCTAAGCGAGCAAGATTATCAATCTCGGGTCTAAAGTTTGTTACTTTAACTTCAACCTTGAAATCCACACAGAGAGAGAGAGGGGCATTGCGACGGCAGCGAAGTGGAGCAGAGGCAGCAGAGAAGAGACCTAAATCCTAATCGGAGGAGAGAGTTATGTTTTTATTAAAAAAAATTATTTTATTAAATGTTAACTTTTTTTAACTTTTTACTTAGGGAAAAACATCTATTTTTTTAAAGCATATAAGCTTATATCATTTTAGATCCTAATCGTTGATTTCCGTCCATCAACGGTTATAATCTATTGGACCAAACTTAATGGGCAAATTTATTATTAATTAATTAATAATTTTGATCCAATAAATTATAATCGTTGATGGACGAAAATCAACGGTTATGATCTAAAAGGATATAAGCTTATATCCTTTAAAATGACAGATGTTATTCCCTTTTACTAAATATTTTTTTCGGGAAGGATATTGTAACAAACAAGTTGTGTTACTACCATGTTATTACTACTAATCAATCTCTCTGTTAGATCGATTATGTTCATCCAACGGTTATATTTACTTTTATCTTTGTATGGTTATGATTCCCCATATTTAAAGTGAAAGCATTAAATATGGAAAATCATAACCATACAAAGATAGAAATAAATATAATGTATTAAATATAGAGAATCATGATCATACAAAGATGGAAATAAATATAACCGTTGGATCAACATAATCGATCTAACGGTGAGATTGATTGGTAGTAACATAACTTGATTGTTATAATATCCTTCCCATATTTTTTAACTTTTTAAAAATTATAATTTTTTTACAAAAATACAATTTGACCGTGCAAGACTTGTGTCGGAAATGTTAATCGGGTATGGAACACCATATGTTGAAACATGAAATTTATCAAACACTTGAAATGCAAAAAATGAGACAATTAAACATTGCAACCAACCGTAAGAGGAGCACTGTTATTAGGCATAGTCACTCGTCGATGGTAAGTGGATAGCGAGTTCAATTACTGAAAGTGGCAATTTTTGAAGAGAATGGAGATGCACAAGATTATTCGGGTTTATTCGGTCCGTAGACGATATGGAAAATAAACCTAACTAGAGAGAGAATTGAGGAGATAACGAAGAGTCGTTTTTATCCTACGCAAAGACAGACAATAAACTCTAATTATAGTATTGTTATACATTAAAATAATATTTGTTTAATAATAATAAATTCAGAAGAGGTTTTACTTAGTACTTTTTTCTCATTACATCTTACTATCAAAATTTAACAGTTAATTTTCATCAATCTAGCGATTATAATTTATTAAGAATTAATAATTAATCAATAAATATGATCTAATAAATTATAATCATCAGATTAACGAAAATCAAAGATTAGAATTTAATAGTAAAAAATAGTACTAAGTATAATATTTCCCAATAAATTATTAGTTCTAATAGTTAGTTTTTCCCTAAAAAAATACTTATAAGAGTTATTCACTGTTATTATTTTTTATTTTACTGGTAACTTTGATATTTTACCCTCAATCACAAAAATTGTAGTGCCATTTTTAAAATGGATGTAAAGGCATTGTGGGTAGGGGTGTAAATAGATTAGAGTAAATTAGGTTTTGACTTAAATAGACTAGACTTGTGTAAAAAGTATTGGGTTTGGCCTGGCATGTTAGTCTGTATAAGCCAAAATTTATAAGTTTGTTTGGACTTATATTTAAAAAATAAAAGCATTGACTTAGGCATGTTAGCATGATTAAGCTTATTAAATATTCAACAAATAAAAGAATAATTAAAATAATATTATTTTATTATCTAATATTATTAATAAAAATATTTATTTAAACATTTATTTTATTTAAAATAAATAATATGATATAGGTCCGATATATAAAAACAATCTATGGCCTGTTTTCTAAATAGGTCTTTTTAAAAGCCTAAATTTGTTCTATTTTATTATTTGTAATAATTTTTTTTTTGGATATTATTATTTGTAATAAGTTAAATCTGATGTAATATAAGCTATATCGTAAGCTCAAATAAGCTGGCCTCATCCGTTTACATCCTAATTGTGGGTGAGTTAAAGTTCGCACCCTTTTGGTGCTTGATCATACTCTATAGATTATACACGTTTATAAAATGTCCAATAGTTGGTGACATAAGCATCTCTCACACTCATCAACCTCGTACATAACCCACCAACCATTTGTTATTCTCACAGATCTCCATGTTCCTCGCATTCAGATCCTCTTAAGTCTTGACCTTTGAACAGAAGGTACCACAATATTCATAATCATTAATATCTTCGAAGAGACAACATTGTATTGCTCTCCTTAGACAAATGGGTGGAGAGCGCAAGGATTACACTTTGGCTGAGGTATCTGAGCATAATACCAAAAAAGATTGCTGGCTTATCATTGATGGCAAGGTATGTGCAATGTGAGCAATATATGGATGGATGCAAATTTGTTTGTAATTCTACAATCTGGGTTTTCTTTTTTCTTTTTGTTTGATTCTTTTTTTTGAAAATTCACCAGGAATGGAATCATGCAATGGTTCAGTTGGATCTGATGAGATTTACATTGTATGTTTGTATGAATGGTATTTTTTGTCTCATTATTTGGATATTTGTGAGGTGGGTTACTTTTGCTTGTTACAACAACCTTATTTTGAAATGGGTATTAGGATTCCTGTTACTTTTGAATTCCTCTCTGTAAGGTTGATTCTTTTGGGAATTAGTTCTCTGCCTGTTCAATTTTCCTGTCTCTATATTCTACAAGAATTTCAAGCAAATCAAAATTGGATTGATGGTGTTATGAATCATCCGTGTCGTGTTTCTATTTTTTCGATACATAAAAAAGGATTAGAATACACATCACCTAACATAACTAACCACATCCCTCACCGTTCGGCTAACTCTAGTAACTTTCAATGTCTGTTTCTAAAAGTTGATATCACTATATATACTTTTTGTGGAGAGAATCTCATAAATTTGATTATGAAAGGAATGGATTTGGTTAAGGAATAACTTCAATTTGGAATCTTTCAAACAATTATAACACTGCATTTATGCTGTTTTGCACCTAGCTCTGTTATTCAAAGCATACACAATAGTTTTGAAAGTATTCGTATATTGTCCACACACAAAAAAGTACTATTCGTATGAGATACTTCACCTTAGATCAAATCTTTAATGTGGGCTCTGATCAATATCTTTCAAGTTGCCATAACTTTTCATTGGAACAGGTTTATAATGTCACAAAATTCTTAGATGACCACCCTGGTGGGGATGACGTCATGCTGTCTTCCACAGGTATTAAATATCTAGTACTCAATGCACTTAATTTATACACACCTCTTGGTCTCACCTAAGTGAGATAAAAAAAATTAACCACTTCCCACAAAGTACCAGTTTCACACAGGGGTGGCAATTTGGGTTGGCTCGCCCCGACTCGCCATCAATTCGTCAAAAACGGAGCGGGACGGGTTGGCTCGTCATTGAATATGGGTTGAAAAATTGAACTCACCCTGTTTTATGGTGGATTGGCGGGTCAACCCACCAACCCTCTAATTAAAAAAAAAATTTAATTAATATTTAAAAAAAAATTAATTTTATGAATTTTTCTAATATTATTTTATCTTATTTCACACTTTTCTTAATTTTTTTCAGTCTCAATCTTAAATGTATAATAATTTTTGTCAAACATTCTTTAGGAACTCATTTATCTCCATATATAGATAACATTTGTCATAAATAAAATTGTTATTCTTTATCTTTTCTAAGAAGTATTAAGATAAAAAAAAAAATTGGATATCAAAAAAATTTAATGACAAATGAAATACTACCTAATTGTAAAAAAAAAAAAAAAAAATTATAACCCAACGGGTCAACCGGTCCCGTGGCGGGTTGAACCCGTTTTGACCCACTTCTAGGCGGGGCGGGTTGAAGTGGGTTGGTGGGTTGAAAATCTCAACCCAACCCGTCCCGTTTTGGCGGGTTGGCGGGTTGATTCACCAGGCTCAATCCATATTGCCACCTCTAGTTTGATATGTGTTAATTTTAGTGTTTCTTCTCTTTAGTTTAATCAAATATAATTTTATAAAAGTCCTTATTACAAAAAGAGTTTTTTTTATATACCGACTTTAATTACCTTCTTGAGACGAGTCAGTCATCCGAGTATTCCCACAAATTTTAACTTTTTGAATCAATTACAAGGCTAATTCTAAGTCGAAACTTAGGGTGTGTTTGAATGTGTTTTTGTTTTTTTGTTTTTAAAAACTGTTTTAAGAATGAAGTTTGAAAACTGATTTTGAGAGTAAAAAAATAATAAAACTTGTTTGAATATGGTTAGTTTAAAAGTTATAAAGAAGATGTAATTATTTACAAAAATGCCATTAATGAATTCTCATATTTACAAAAATGCCACCGTAAAATAATTTAAAATAAAAAAATTGATTTAATTACGAAAATGTCATTAATGAATCCCCTTATTTACCAAATTGCCACCGCACAAAACTAAAAAGCACAAAACAACTTTGGAAAACATGTAAAACTTGTTTTGCTTTTCCGATTTCCAAAACTAAAAAGCAGACACGATTTTTAAAACAGGATGCATGAAAACAGGTTTTCAAACAAGATTTTTTGTTTTATTGTTTTTAAAAACTAAAAAAAAAATTGAAAACACAAATCAATCAGGCCCTTAGTCACTATTAAAGTTCTTCTCTCTCCCTAAAGATGTATTTAGTAGGGATCAAACTATGATTCTCTCCTTACCTACTCAGCCTATGTTGTCAACTAAACTACACCATTGAATATAATAAGAGCTTAAGGGTTTTATAAAAATTATGTTGTAGGAAAAGTGATTGTGTAATGTTATAGAGATTCGTTTTGCGTGTCTTAGTTTTTTTTTCTTTTTTTGCTTCAAAAAGTGCAGGCCCCATAAAATATTGTGTGTGTAGAAAAAAAATTTGTGTTATATTGCATGATGAATGCAAATCTCTTTTTATAATAAAGAAAAAGGCTAAAAGCTAAAAACTCTCGGGAGAGATTTTTTTAAAGCTATATGATAGTTTTTTATAGTGCTAATATTTATTATATAATTTTACCCTTATTTTAAATTTGTATTAATAAATTTTATTTCTTATCCTAATAATTTATCTAAATGACAAATTATTTCATCTTCTCTCCTTTAAAGTTATTAGAGCAACTTTATATAAAATCACTAAACAATTTTTAACTTTATTTTTTAAGCTCTTTTTTAACTTCAGCTTAAAGTAGCTTTTAACCTTAAAAAAATATCAATCAGATTCTAAACATTGACCAAGTACGGTTGAGGACAATTCTTATAACAATTTTACGGTTGTATATTTGCAAAGAAATTCTTTTTTGAATTCAAATAACCTTTCGATCAAAGAGAAGCAACTTTACCGTTACTTCATATTTACCCTCTTAGTTCTCACCGGAGTGCAAATAATGCCTTTTGATAGCCCAAATGTCACTTGTTTGTAGGGAAAGATGCAACTGATGACTTTGAGGATGTTGGTCACAGTAACAGTGCTAGAGCCATGTTAGATGACATGTATGTTGGAGACATTGATTCAGCAACCATCCCCGCTAAGGTTAAGAACACTCCTCCAAAACAACCTCAAATTAATCAGGACCAGAACCCAGGGTTTATTATCAAGATGCTCCAGTTTCTAGTTCCCCTGATTATCTTGGGTTTGGCAATTGGTTTTCGTTTCTACAACAAATCAACGTAGTCATTGAAACTGCAAGAGCACTTGAATATACATTTACAATAATATATTAATGTTATAATTTTGTTTGCTTTGTTCTTTCCAACTACAATTTTCAGGGGTCAATAGGACATACCACTCTTGTTTTTAAGTGTCGTTTGTTGTTGAATTTCTTATTGTCTTCTCTGTATTTGGATTCTACTTGAACAGTTATCTGCTCTTTATGAATTTTTGTAGTTTTAAAAACTAAATTGTACTATATTCTCGATGAGGTAGAATCTCTTGATACTAATGTCAAATTTAAAATTTGACCCCTTATTTGAAAGTCGTTATATCAAAAAAGATTAACTACTCTAATTTGTAAACATGTGACATCATTGATCTTTTTTTATTTTTTTTGATCTAACGGCTCTCAGATGAGGTGTCAAATCTCAAATTTAACACTGCTGTCAAATATCCTGCCTCATTCTCAATACTCTAGTTATATAAATTTACATTTCGAAAGCAGATTGAGTTTTCATTTTCCCGGGTAAAATTGTTACCATAATGGTAGAAAAAAGAATAATGAAACATTTTTCAATATGAATAGTATAGTGCTTTAATCGAATTAAACCGGCATTGAATCCATTGATACCCTAAAAAACTTATGAAATTTTATGAGTAAATACCTTTTTCCGTCCCTGGAAATATTTGCGAAGCACAATTTAGTCCCTCGGTTTAAAAAGTCACATTTTAGTGTCTAATGTTTGAAAAAAAGGGACACGTTTGTCCTTCTGTTACATGGATTGTGACAGCCCTGTTGACGGAGGCCAGGTGGAACGTTAAGTGGCTGAGTCACTAACGTCCTGGCCACTTGGATAGAAAGCGACGTCGTTTAGGTGGATGTCTTGTGTCTATCCCAATGTTTGGACAGGTGACCCTTGCATGAAAGGGTCAGTGACCCAAATTCGTCCCTGTCAAATTAGGAAACCTAAATCAGCCTAAGCCATGAACAAAAAAACCCCAAAAGCTCCCCACGATGAAGATTGAATAGAGTGTCAAGTAGAAGGTGTTTACTGGCTATTTTCTGGTGCGTAGAAGAAGATGAGTATGTCATCTGGCTTGGGGGGATCAAGTGGGAGTACGCCTTTTAGTTGTAGAACAAAGGGACTACCTGGCGGTCGAAGGTGCAAATGTGGGAGGCAAACAATCGTCTATACCTCCAAAACAGAGAGAAACCCAAATAGGGCATTCTTTGGGTGCCCTAATTTCAAGGTATACATTTGTAAATTGAGTTTTGATAACTTGGAATATTTGCTTACGGTGGACTGAAATTTTGGCAGGATAAGAAGCCCTTTTGTAATTTTTTTAGATGGGTAGATGATGTATGTAATGAAAGCTTGGAGCTTGAAGATGGAAGAATCAACAAGGTGGAGTTGGATGTTGCTGAAATGGATTTCAAGCTGAAGCATGTGGACATGATAATCAGTGACCAATTGCAAGCTAAGTTGAATGACCATGGTGTGAAGATTAGTGAGCAAGAACTGAATATCAAGGTGCAGAAAAGAAAGCTGAATGAGCTATACCTGAAGATGGTGGAGGAGTTAGATAGGATGGACAAGGAAATTAGGCATGTTGGTAGGGCAGCTAGGGTCTTAGTTGCTACTTGTGTAGGGTTTTTGATGATTTATTTTTTGATTGCAATTGTTGTAACAATTAAATGTAGTGATCGAAATGTTTTTTTTCTTCAATGAAATGTAATGACAATGTAGTTCTGTTTGGTGATGATTAAAATTCACAAGATGCCATGATTATATGGCTTTGTATTTCTGTTTTATGTGCTATAAAATGTGAAATTGTGTAATACTCAACCCTTTCATGATATACTAAGAATATGTCAATAGCAATTGTTATTGAGTTTTGGAGTAATACAGCCCACATGGCAATGAACATATGAAGTTTAATATTGTTATGATTACACTGTCATGATGGGGCATAAGCTTTTTTTATCTGTATATTGAGGGTGGACATTCCTTATGTGGTGGTGCATGGACATTACATATAAATGACAGTTGCATGTAGTGAAATATCCAGCCAAATCTTTGTTGCATCTGGGAGAATGAGAAGTGGATAGTGGTATGTAATGATGGAAGGGTATGCAATTGTAACTGACTACAACTTCTTTTTTATATCAGTTGTTTCCCATTGCTGCAAGCTGTATCTGTATGCTGATTTGTTAATTTGTGTATGAATCTTTTTTATTCTGGCTACAATGCAGGTGGTCCAATTCTGGGTACTGTTTGGTCGTTGCTGTTTGGACAAATTTGAATGCAATGTGTTCATGTCCAATTTTTGGATTGTAGCTTGTATGAATTGCAGCTTTTGAATTGCTGCAGCTTGCTGATTTTTGAATTGCTGCATTATGTCTTTGTGATGAACAACTTTTGAATTGCAGCTTGTGTCCAATTTAGTCTAAACAGGTCATGTCCAAATTTTAACTGTCAGGGACCAAAAAGTGCCCCGATATATTTTTTCAAGGACCTAATTGGCCCTCGATAAAAAAATGCAGGGACTAAATTGGGTTCTAGTTTATATCATTAGGGTCCAATATCCAGGGACTCAATTGGGTTCTAGTTTATATCATTAGGTTCCAATATCCAGGGACCAAAAGTGCATCTTCTTAACATTATTCATCACAGTGGTCAACAAGTCATTCAATTTCATTCAAGAAAAACTACATTTCGTACAATGCATTTCATTGTTACAACCATTGCAATCATCACAGCTTTCTTTCCTGCACCTTCATACTCAGATCTTGCTGAACAACATCTTGCACCTTCGTCCAAAATTCCGTCAGGTTGTTCTACTCCCAAATGCACCAGAAAACTTGATCCCCCAAGCTAGATAACATAGTCATCTTCTTCTACGCACCAGAAAATAGCCAGTAAACACCTTCTACTTGACACTCTATTCAATCTTCAACAAAATGTGTTTTGGGGTTTTTTTTTATTCTTAGGCTGATTTAGGGTTCTAAATTTGACAGGGACTATATTGGGTCACTCACCCTTTCATGCAACGGTCACATGTCCAAACATCCAACTAGACACAAGGCAGCTATCAATACGACGTCGTTTTCTCTCCACGTGGGCAGGACGTTAGTGACTCAGCCACTTAACGTTCCAGGTGGCGTCCGTCAACAGGGCCGTCACTTTCCACTTAACAGAAGGATAAACGTGTCCCTTTTTTTTTTAAATGAAACACTGAAATGTGACTTTTTTAAACCGAGGGACTAAATTGTGCTTCGCAAATATTTCCAGGGACTAAAAAGGGTATTCACTCAAATTTTATTTATTGTTTCTTTCATCTTCACTTAACAATTAGAATAGGCGTTGCAAGTGGCATTGTAGTAATGTACTCCAAGAGCACCTATAATGGTTTCTATCACCATTGAATTTCAATATTCATATTTTGCCCACCATTCTCCTGAAAGAGAACAAGTATAACACGCCATTTTTCGCCATTAAAAAAGCTGGAGTTATGGGTCTCTTTGAATCATGTTTTCAAAAATAATTTTTTAATTTTTAGAATAAAAAACAAAAAAACTTATTTAACAATGCTTGTTTTGAAAAAGCAGTTTTAAAAATTATATCTACTTGTTAGTTTTTAGAATTAAATTTAGATAACATGTTTAGTTGTTTTTGTTTTCTACTTTGACTTTTAACTTTTAAAATAAAACAAAAAATAGAAAATATTTATTTTATTAACTACTTTACAAAATAGTTTCACCTTTCAAGAACAAAAAAAAAAAAAAAAAACATCACACAATCAAATAGGCTAGTTTCTTCTTCTTTTTTCTCCTTTTTTACCCTTGTCAAACAAAAGTCATCTAGAAAGCACGAAGACAAATAACTAAGGAGTCTAAACACCCCTCAACAAAATAGCATGGTAGAAAGTATAAATTATCACTTATTATGGTTGATTCGTCATCATCTGAGTCTCCTCGGTCTACATCCGTGCACGAGCCTAAGCCTTCCGATCCTACCACACATGTCCTTCCTAGACCATACAGGTGGGAGGTACTTCAGAGGAAGACACAACGCACACATGTTTCACAGACCGTGTGGAACGAGGATAAAATTCGAGCACTGAAGACTCAACGCGGTAAACTGCATGGGGGACCCCCTCGCTGAGTACCTTACACAGGTCGGTTTCATACATGTGGCATGCATGCGTCATATTCAGGTATGTATTTTAGAATGTAATGTATTATATTTTGTTCACACTAATCTTTATAAATTAATGAATTGTTTACATATGAATTAATAATGTCTTATGTATTTCAGATTGATTTTGCCTTTATCAGTGCTTTGGTCGAGAGGTGGAAACCAGAGACACACACCTTTCACATGACGCAGGGAGAGATAATCATTACCTTACAGGACATGGTGGTTATACTGAGATTGCCTACTGATTGGCAAGTAGTTACCGGACGTACCGCATTGGATTAGTCAGCCGCGTGGGCACTGACCTCTTTGGTGGTGATCTACGGCAGAATTGCTAGTAATCGCTCTTATCAGTGCTTTGATAGACTGCGTGCCCATTGGGGTTCAGTTGCTAAGCATCCTGAGGAGGTGAGGTGTTACACTAAGGTGCACATTGCATGTTTATAAGCAGCATAGCTCCTCTACGACAGATCGAGGGTGCAAAATTACATGCCCCTACATTCCATTGCTTGGAGGAGAGTTTGAGGAGATTTGAGGATATAGTTGGGGGTCTGCAGTTCTCGGGCTTTTGTTTAGACAGTTGTGCGAATGTACAAATCTGAGCAGATCAAACATTGGAAGGTTCCACATTTTTCTTCAGATCTGGGGTTGGCTCAGATTCCCACCATTGCTCCCCCTCTTCGTCATCCTACTCAGCCGGAGTGGCACTTCAGACACTGATATGTCTTATGTATTGCCTTATTCATTACCTTTCCACGAGTATTATAATTAATGTTTATGTTAAATTTAGAAATCAATTTTAATGTTTTAGCCCCCTTCAGA